AGACAGACAGACAGACAGACAGACAGACAGACAGACAGACAGACAGACAGACAGAGAGAGAGAAAGAGAGAGAGAGAGAGTGAGGAGGGGGGGGGAGACAAAACATCCAACATCACCAAAGCCCAGAAAGAATTTCAGGACACTAAGACTTTACAAGAGGAAAAAAACTAAGGACACTCTTCTTATTCTGTTTAGTTTCAGTTTTGCTCCGGGGTCTTTCGCACAGACAGGGTTGGAGAGTGAGAGAAAGTGTTAGAGGGTGGAGGCACAACGAATGACAGGACATATAGACGGGGTAAGAAAAGATTGAGAGAAATTAGTGTAGGGCATATGAGGAGAGGGGAGGAGTGAGAGAAAGTGTTGGACAAATGAGGAGAGGGGAGGAGTGAGAGAATATGTAAAGAGTGGGGTGAGAAACGATTGCAAGAAAGTGCAGGCGGGTAGGATAGGGAGGAGAGGAAAAGAACGTTGGGGAAGGGGGGGGGTAAAAAGAGGGAGAGGAAGCAAAGATAGGGTGGGAAAGGATTGACAGAAAGTCTAGGCAGGGGAGGGAAGAGAGTGGAAGAAAGTGTAAATGGGGGGGAAAACGAAAGGGTAAAGACAAAAGAAAGGGGAAGAATGCTATGAGACCATTCTCAAGGATGAGAAACTCCTAAAAATTTTCTTCTCTAAAATTGTCTCCATTGACCTTCTTTCCTGCTCTCAAGCAATGTTCTGTCGTCTGCTTTCGTTTCAACTTTCTACCCCTACCCCCTCATCCCCTTTGCTCTCTCCTCAGGGCTTCTGACTATTTCTGCAGCCTTTCTACTGCTACTCCTTGGCTCCTTCTTACTGCTGTCTTTCCGCCACACCCCTGATCTTATGGTAGGAAAGAGCTACACCTAGCCTTCTCGGATAAGGGTGAAAAATCTCGGAGGACCCGTGTGCACGTTGTGCACGTTCTGCACGTTAAAGATCCCTTGGTGGTCTAAAATCAATAAAAGTAGGCTTCGGCCGCCACTCGGGCAAAATTCAAAATTTCCTACCAGCTGAAAATGTTTAATGTATCCCGCCTGCTCATATGACCTTACGCAGTTTCGAGCGCCGTTTAACACTTACAAAAACAAAAAAAACAAAACCCAAAGATCAGTGGGCCTATATATGCTATTTAGCTTTAGAAAGAGTTTTACGGCACTTGCAATACAATAAGGTCCTAATATAAGTGCCGAAGATAGGAGGTGTTACAAGAGAGTAACAAACACAAAAAAAGAAAGAGGGGAGATAAGGACGATAGATGTTTGATAGTAAAGAAGAAGCAAACCACACCAGCCAACTACCCACTGAAAGAAAGTGTGAGGGGGGGGGGGGAACTAAAGGGCAGAGACAAAAGAAAGAGGGAAGAATGCTGTGAGGCCATTCTCAAAGACGAGTAGTCCTATAAGTGGTCGCTTTTAAGGAATAGCGGGCTAACCCAGATTTCGGGAGTTTCCAGAAATCTTGACCTACTCCAAAAGTGGGCATTGCCCTACCTGTAAGAGAAGTTTGGTTTCATTGCTGCATATATATTCGTTTGGTTATAGAATTAGAGAAAACTCTCCTTGTAAAGAAACTGAACAAATGTCCAGAAACTTTACCTTCCATTTCCTCAAAACAGCACTTTTCGGGATAGCCCTCTTGTGCAAAAAAGCGACCAAAATAAGCCTTGTCTGATACAATGGCTATTGATCTGTACAGCCAGCTAAGGGGAATGAATCCATCACCTAGACAGATGGTTTGGAGAAAAAAACCCATAAAAAACAAAACAAAAACCAAAAAAGAAGTCTTTGTCTGTTTCAGGGATTGAGACGAAGTAAGAGCGCAACATTTTTTTGGAAAAAAATTATTTCTTTAATTATTTATTTATTATTATTTGGGGGGAGGGGGCATCTTACGAAGGAAGAGGAGAAAGGGTGCGTAA